CCCCGGTGCCATAACACCGATGGGTGGAAAATCAACGATGGGCGCCATAATACGGACAACTACGGTATCCCTTGTCTGGGTGAACGCTCGCTCTTGGCCACCTCCCTTCTCTTCCACACAGTGCTTCATAAGAGATGTGCTTCTTGGCATGGGATCAAACTGCACACGCCGCCAGCACGCGTTCCCTGACGTCGCGTTTGTGCGAGACTAGGAAGCTGAACTACAAAAACAGGGCGAATTTGTGCACACGTCACACCTTCACCTCTGGCCGCCAAAGAGAGGTAGCCCGCGTCTCTCTAGACTATTCTACTGGTAGTCCTCACCGGCGTTTTGGTGAGAGAGGCCAAGGACGAGATCTGGCAGAGGACCTTGTGACCGCCCTCCTTCAGCTTCGCCCCGGTGCCGTCCTCCTTCTCCCGAGCGAGCAAAGCCCGCACCCGCATGTGGCCGTACTTGTGTAGGTCCCTCCCCTTGTGAGGCTTCCCGCCGGTGCCGGGAGTGTTCCCACCTGTACCGGGCACGCTAGGCACCAGCGCCACCCTCGCGCCCCGGAAATCGTACTCGCCCAGAGTGCTGTCCAAGGGGAATGACAAAAATCATACCATGGTATGTCGGCAGGTATGCATGGTATGTGGGTGCGGGTATGGACATATGATGGACACGAGTATGGGTATGGGCATTGGCATGGTCATGGTCATGGAAATGGGTATGGACATGCACACGGGTTGATGGACACACGTGGGTATCTTGTTTATGACATGACAGTTATTGTGTTGTTGGAAAGGTCAACAGTGTCCGCGTCCTTGTGCAATGCCATCGGGACTACACAATTGCTGCTGTAACTGGCGATATCGGGATGGGATGCTTGACGCGGGCTGGGTACGCCTGTCGAACCTCGAAAGGACCTCATTTTGTGCCTTGCGAAAAGAAACAAGCATTACTTCACCAAGGCGCACGCATGGTGCATGCAAGCCCAAGGGAATCCGCATCCACAAGAGGTGCGTTTGTATCCTGCGTATGTAGAATGTTTTTGTCCAGGTGCCCTGCCTATCTACCCACGAGTCAGTATGATTGGATTTGTCCTGCGGCAGCCGCGGGCTCAAATAACACACACGCTCATAGGCGAGAATGATCGTCGAGCAACGGCAGTGAGGGGGTGCACTGTTGTGGCCGGAGACGTTCCGTCCAATTCGATACGATCTCCAAATAACCCGGCCTAGTGGATGGTTTGAAACATAATAACGTGAGAACGAGAATGAATAGATGCTGTAATTCAATGCATGGCGACGTGACAAGAAAAACCCTCGATTACAGGACAATATTGTCCGAAAACGTCGCCCCCAAGCGTAAACGTTGTGCTCAGAACAGGCAACCGAATAACGTGATGGTTTACATGGTAAAAGATGTGCAGAGGCACGCCAGGCACTACAGGAATTAACTAAAGAGCGAGAAAAGAACATGAACCGCTGTTGAACAGCAGCAGAAGCAGCAGCACCAGCCACAACAGGCCATCAATACCGCACCCTACCTTGCAAACGCGGACGCGGGCCCTCCGACCTTGAACAGAAAGCCCATCAAGTCCTCCTGCAGTGCCGTTGGATATTCCAGTCAAGACAGCAGTAGTAACGGTCGCGCGGGAGCGATAAGGGTAAGAGGCCGGGCAACCGAGAAAGAGTCTACGCGAAACGAAATTGTGGCATCAAGCCCAGCAAAAAAAAAAAACGGGGAATTTCGACAGGGCCATGGCGCGCAGTGGCGTCGTCATATGCGACCGGTAGCGTCGGCGGGCGGCCTGTCAGAACACACCTGGAACGCGCATGATCCCGACGTCCTTTTCGGAAAGTCCTGGTACCACACGCCCTGGCTCTTGTCGGTGACGTCCACCACAATGAAGTTTGCGGTCAGCACAGCCACACGGATCCCTGTCGGGAACTTGAGGATGATCATCTTGGCGTGGTTGGTGCCGTACTCTGGGAGCTGCCAGCGAGGGAGGGCAGAAAGGGAGGACGGCGAGTGGCGGTTAGGACAATCAAGGAGGATGGATGACCGCTAGGCATGGTGCTTACAGCACAATCACAATACATGGGATACCTTGGGACTTTGGGGGATACTGACTGCTGCTTCGGGAAGTGCTGTACCTGGCCTCTAAAACGTTGGAGGCCATGTATCTCCTCTTCTCTCTCTTGGTTGTGTATGGTGATGGTGCACCCGGATAGGGTGGCATTTAGAGCTCGCGCAATGAGGGTACACGCGTGCGCGTGTGCGTTGTATTTCGCTCCCCTTCCCAAGCCACAGCTCAACGAGCGGCACCAAACTATTGTATGACCCTCGCCGCAACAAATCTGTGCTTCTACGGTTTAAAATGTTCGTGCGTGTATGGACTGATTCAGCGACCAACTCAACCACAACCATGCGGTGTCGCAAACAAAAACTTGTAGTATGCTTGGCGGGGGACGGATGATCCACGTGCTCTGCGGAGTGCCCGCGTCACTTAAGACTTGAGGATCAAAATGCATTATCACGAACTATTTTCTCAGAGCAGCGCGTGGGCCAGCAGAGCAGAACACACTCAGTCATAGCAAACTCACCTCCGGGTAGCGCAGCTTGACGCCGGGGTTGACGGCGCACTGGCTGCGAAGATTCACCTCATCTTGCCTGTGTTTTGGGTTGTTAGCGTCAAGAGCGGGTATCACGAGAGAGCAAGGATAGGACCTTGACTTGGACCATACGTGACGCCATTCGGTAGCGTGCGCTGTAATGGTACTTGATCGAGGAAGCACGGGCCAGAGGTCGTGGCAAGTTGAACGTCCATTGCTTCCTTACAAGCGAGTACCGCCGTTGTTGCGCAAGATACCCTCCCCCCCCCCCCCCCCCTTTTCAAAGCTCAACTTCCGCTGTACTACCGCTGTAATACACTCCAAACTAAACGCTACGTTCTCGCATTTCTCTCGACGAGGCAGCTCCCGTGCCGCCATTTCGGCACCCCCACTGCTCGTCGTGCAGACCAATCAAGCTACTGTATAGGGAAATGGGTCCAGGCGGTGTGGTATTTACCTTGAATGCAACAATAAATGCAGGGGGGGGATCGAACACGACGGCGCGAATTCGCCAGAGGAGGAGACAAAAACTTTTTCATCTCGCGGGAACATACATGGGGGAAACTTCTAGTCCTCCAACACCCGACAACGCTGCACACAACCGCACTCACGTCCCGGGCTTGAAACCGTGCACGATAGTAACCGGCACACTCCCAAGCCTCGGCGCGCATCTAACCAGCAGCGCGTAGTCCACCATATAGTTGCAAAGGAGGGCACTTTCGAAGTCGCCGCTGAGCAAATCATCCAGGCCTACACTGCCGGTGCTCGCCCGATCACTCGGAGAGGTAGAAAGCAGGCGATACAGCGGTGGCTTTTCGAAGGGCTGGAAGCTTCGCGGGCGCTTGCCTTTGCGCTGTGATGGTGTCTTGTTGTCGCCTTGCTCCGACGCTGGCCTCTTAGACTGGGACGTGCCGCCGTTTGAATTTGAACTATTGACAGCAGCGGAGGTTGCACCGCTGCTGTCTGAGTGACTGGATAGTGACGCTCTGATTGCAGCCTGGAGGTCATCGTCTTCGGAGTCGGCAGTCAGGTCCACCCGATCCACCATGGCCGTTTGCGTTGGTGTGCTGTATGCTGTATGCTGCGTGAGAAAGCCTCTCTCGGAGCTGCTATATATGCATACAATAGGGAACTGGCAAGCACGCACCTTACGGCACCCCCCCCCTACCCTCCTATTCTTGGCCCCCACTGCATTCCTGTGTGTTGCTTTGTTGCGTTGTGCACACGCCACGCGCGGGCACCGACTGCTTGTACACACCCACAGCAATGAATCCAGCACAGGCGGTGGAGCGCTCGTCAACCCGGGTAAGAGTTCGTGATCAGTTGACTGGTTCCCAGGCATCGTTTGCACAGAACACCAAACCGGAAGGAGGGGGGAGAGGAGAGCGAGAGGAATTACGCCGCCTCTAGAAGGAACATTGTTGTACAATCCAATGCCGCGCTCTGTACTGCAGGGACAGAAGGTGGTTGTTCAAAGCTTCGCATGGCTAGACTGTTGCATTATCCTCTGGGTGTATGCCGTGCTCTTTGTTGCTGACATACTATCCCTGTCTCCCCCGTCGTATGTGGTGCGTGCTGTATGACCGACGTCCCCTGCTACGACCGCCTCTGGAAAATGGTACTCGCAGCTCTACCGGGACTGCTTGAGGCTGGTCGACCACATCGCCTCGAAGGTGCGGGCACACACACTGCTGCTAGGTCATTTTTCACCCTTCCGTTGCTTTATCATTTGGATTGGTTGGCATTAGAAAATAGATGTACATACGTATATATGTTCTCCATGTAGAACACACGTTCGAGACAGCAGTGCCACGGAAAGGACAACAGCAGTGAGTGGGGAAGAAATCCTCTGGATACTGGGCTCATAATTGCCCCGCTTTTGTTACGGATCTGCTGATCACGCGATCGCTGTTCTTTCAGCTTCTGATACACTACGTTGGCATAATTCCTGAAGTGGTGGAGTCGTGACGCGATAACGACCACCCCCTTCTTTTCGAACACCCGTCCTGCAAATTGCCCCCCTCTGGTTTGACTTTGAACTCGAGGGATCAAGTACCAGACTGCATCACATCGACATGGATACGGATGTCGTAATACCGACAGATGTAGACTCTATGTAGTCCTGTGTTGCTGCATTTCCCTACAGATGTGCGTACAGATACGTCAGTTAGCTGTCACTCCAAATGTCATTCTCTTATCACCTGCGCGCATGATCGTAAACCCTTGCTCATGGGCTTGCTTGAATTTCAGAGCCCCAAGGGCCAGCAGCTCCGTCTTATCCTGAGAACCGAGTTCAAGAAGAACATGGGCGAGACCGACCCAGTCAAGATAGAAGCGCTCAAGGGAGGGTGAGGCACGAAACATAATTTGTCGTTCAGAGTACCACACAATTTCTGTTGTTCGCCCATTGTAGCTTGGGGGTAATTCATTTATGATCAGCGTACCTTGAGCCGCTCACAGCAGAAGTTATGTGCCTCTGTGATAGGTGCCTATGCACTCGTCCAGGAATGGGGCTGCCTGTTCTCCGAGCACAAAAAAAACTGTCGCGGTTATTCGTCCAGCGGTTAGTGCAGGACTTACATGCTGTCCAAGGGGAATCTGCGCGTATTGTTGGACCTCGCGCTGCCGACTTTTTTTTATTCTAATACATACCAGAGCGGTTTCAGTCGGCGACAAATCAATCCTACCTTGTGCGCGCTCGTACGTCGGTCTGCCCTGCCTTGTATCTGGCAGCGCAATACGAGGATTGTCAAACTACTTGGTGCACGAATCGGGCAGGTGAGGAAGCCAGCTTGACTACTCTGTACAGCAGCAGTGGTGTTTTATTTCACACGCTGACCTCCTCTTTATCCTGCACTGCTGTACCGTCTAACTACCTCGAAGACGTTTCCTGCTCACAGACAATATTTTCAGCTTTCCCGTACCTTTCAAAATCACAGTTGGTTGACACGCCAGCCAGAGCCACGCGATGTATGTGTAGCCTCACGTGCGCTTCCAGTTTTTTTTTTACGAAATCACCTTCTTCGCCTCCTGTTTCAGTCGTTTTTCTTTTGTTCTCGTCCTTCTTCCACTTCCTCCTTCCTCTTCGCTTCTTTTGCGGAACCACCGCTTTACGCTTTGTCTGATTGGTTAGCAACGACCCGCAACTGAAGAAGCGAATGGAAGCAGTCAAGACCCACGCCTTGGCCGACCTCAAGCAACGACAACAGGAACGGGACGGGAAGCGGTGACAGCCAGCGCGCTTGCTTGCCGCTTGTTTCCGATACCACAAATTTTTCCCTGTCGCGGACGAACCCTGTTGGAATCTAGACTAATTGATGGTCTGCCTGCGGGCTCACATTTTTCGGTGCATGTTTTTTGGGTATTCTTTTGGGATGTAAATATGTTGATGGTGGACGACGGGAGTCCCGCATGGAGTGCAGGTAGTTCATCAAGTAGTCTGGAGAGATAAGAACCAGCCTCAGCTCGTGTTACAAGATGTCGCATGTTGCACTGCTTCTACCCGCGTTGTGTGCCCGTTTTCAAGGCAAAAAATAAAAAAATGTAATCGCGTCCGCAGTTTGACAAATACAACGTCCATTGAACAATCGCTCCCCACGAGCATAGCTAGCACAAGCAACGGTGCTCAGCTGTCCGTGGTAATCGTATATGGCGAGGAGTGCCAGGCTAAGAAACTACTGTGATTTCAGCGGAATGCCAACGTATTCGTATGTGTCTCACTTCCTGCACGCTCTGGGTAGGCGGTCAACTGGCGGTCGGGGGGAGGTCTGCTTTTTTTTAACCTTACTACTGCTCAAGGTCTTCATCTCACCCAAACAACGATGACAAAATTCGTCGCAAGTGTTCAACGAGGATGTACCACTTGCAAAAGTTGTTGCCTCTGACAGTCGAAAACAACCAACAGAACCCTCTCTCCTCTCGTCTTTCTGCAGAAGATAAAGGAGACTAAAAGTTTTAGGTTTGTGTTTTGTTATGGATGGTCGACCTGTGCCTCGCCCGATACAAAACACCTACACCAACGACCATCGTGTTTTACACGTTTGTCCACGGCCAGCACCAAGAAGTTTTGGCGCCTGCTTTCGAGTGCGTATGGTGAACAACGAGTGAGCAGCGGACCTTTTCAGTCGTGTTGCCATAGACACGATTGATGTGGACACTGCGGCCAAATATCCACTACCCCCGTTTCGGCTTGCTCAAACGCAGAAAACTTGGCCTTCTTGAAGGAAAGAACGTCGTCAGCAGAGATGTGAGCACCCTGATTCTGCAGAAGTTCCTCCCGTTCCTTCGCCAAAATAGGCAGACAGCGCTGTTCCTTTGCTATTACGGTTCGAAACCAAAACATCGCTGTCGCCCGCTCTAATTCTGATTGGACCGCAGCAGGCACACAATTGAGCCCCCCACGCAACGGGAATGAGTTCGAAGTCAGCCGCGATGCAGGCGTTCGTACAAAGTTAACCTGTTTTTTAAAAGCGAGGCTCGTGTCCTTCATCTACAGAAGGACGATGAAGACGATACCAATTTCCACCCCAGGTACCGAATTTGTAGTCCGAAAGTGCAACAACGACACTCAGCGCCCCTTACGTTCGTGAACGACCATGCTAATGAGCTCTCGAGATCCGCGCTCCATTTTGTCCGAACAAGATCCCCGCTAATTGGGGCAAAAATGGTTGCCTTGGTTTGGACCAGACAGGAATGTAAGATTCTACATCGCAAGAGGCTATGCGCCCTTCTTAGCTCGCTTCTGCTTTTTCTTGCGGGGCTTCTCCTTCTCCTTCCCTGATGCCCCCTCTTCCTCGCCGTTTTCCTCCTTCTTCACCGCGACTGGTACTCTCGCTTCCTTCGCTTCCTCCTTCTGCGCCGTCTTGGCTGCTCGCTTGGCCTTCTTGGCCTCCGACCTCTCACGTTTCCGTTCGGCCTTCGTGCTGCTGTCAGCCTTTTTCGCTTCACCGCCCCCCTTGACCGCTACTGCCGTTGTCTCCTGGCCCGTTGTTGTCGTCTTCTCTCGCTTCACAACCACCTTCGGTGACTCCTCTGTCTTCACCTCCTCGGTACCGGTTGATCGTTTTCGCTTGTGGCTTGAAGACCCTTGCCCCTCCCCGCCTATTGCGCCGTTGATAGAGCCGTTGGGCGCGGTCGAAGGCGTCCCACCACCAGTGCCATCTTGGCCGCCCTCGGTGCGCGAGAGCTTGCCGTTCTGAGAGGCCCTTGCTCGCATTCCCATGCGCGCCCCGCCTGTTGCCTTGAACATCTTATCGTACATGGTCGTGGCCTCTGCTGCCGCTTCCGGCTTGCCCTCACCACTGTGTCGTGTTAAAAAAATATAACAAATAACGAGTAGGCCAGAGCAAAGCAGCCGGAAAACTAGATTAGGAGTTACAGCAGTAGCAGGTTTGTACATAGGACGCCCAGTGTACTTTTGATCACAGGCATTACGGCCGACAAGGGCAGGATTGAGGCCAGATGAGAAAAGCAGAACCCTGCGCGCAGAAGCAGCAAGTGGTCGCACAGACTCTCTACTCACACCGGCACGAGGTTGCAGGATTGCCGTACATACGAAAAATAAGTGGACGGCGAGTGAGCAAGACGTAGACATCAAAACAGCGATACTCCTGGAGAAGGGTATGCAAGACAGGCATCCTGTTGCTTGCTGTGTGTTGTGGCCACATGGCGCAAATCGTGAGCTACACAAGAAGTCATCCGCTTTGCGGCACCTTGCACGGAGATTGGCTCAATTGGGCCTCACAACCGAAACACGAAGCCTCTTCAGGTGTGGCAAGCATAGAACATGCGGCAGGAGTTGCTACAGCACACCATCTTCGTGACACTGGTAACGGGTACTATGCATGCCATGGTAAGCTGTTAGGGGCAAGCACTCACTCAGCCGTCTTGTCTCTCCTCTTCTTGTCCTTTTTCTTCTTCTTCTTGCCTCCCATGTTCGCCAAAGCGGAGTCAAAGGCGTTGAAGTACCACTGGTCATTGACTTTGTTCTGTTGCGCCTTTTCCTTGCCCAAGCCAGAGTTGTCGTCCTTCTTCTTCACCTGGACGTACGTAGACCTGCCCTGCTCTTCCTTACCCAGCCCCTGGCCCTCGGCCCAGCCCATTTTTGCCATCATCCCTTTGGCAAAGCCTGAGTACCTGTACAGAAGCGAGTGTGGGATACCACAAAACAGTTATAGTAGTTGAACACGTAGAAGTGTAGTTACAAAGGCGCCTACGTACAAGGACTCGGTTGATCATCTACCAACTTGCAAGTAACAGGTGGTGGCTGCATTCAAATTCGGGATGTATGCGTACGTATCGGGGTAATACCGAGGACCATCACACAAGACATCGCAGCCGCCATTTTCGTATCGCGCAACATGTTCGCTGTCTGCATAGTGTAGGCCTATAATCGCGCGTGATGTGTCCAGCTAAGATTTGTGCTACCGGCCATGTGCAGCAAAGCGAGGTAGGCGGATTCGATCGGCACAACTCGATGACTGGAGACGAGCAGCGGACAGAGGTTTAGGTTTCTTTCATGAAGCAGGCAATGTTGATTAGAAAGTATGTATCAGGGCACGACAATCCTTCCACTATGACGTGCCAGTGCAGTGCACCAGGCTACGACACAATAGTTACTGTCTTGCGCGGCTTTAAGAGGGACATGGTGACAAGGTTTCAAGGTTTGGAGGAGGTAGAGTGCTGCTGGTGTGCGGTTTGAAACTTCATGGCCTCTTACCCCGCGCCAGCGCCATCGTTCGCCACAGAAGAAAGTCTCTTTAGCTCCCGCTTTCCGAGCAGCTGCACCGACATCGTCCACGCACAACGATTGGGTGACCCACGAGATGGTGAGGCAAGCCGAGAGTAACAGGTAACTACTTGCACCTGCTGCCACGGCACCACTGCTGTGGACTGCTCGATGGGAGGCAGCGGCGAGAGGCGAACACACCACGCCCCCCCCCTACACCGCCATAGTACGATGCGCGTGTCTCCCTCTCCCCCCCGCTCTCGTGGGCTGGCTTCGCGCGTCGTACCGTAAAAGGTCGCCTGTCCAGCTGCTGTGCTGTGTGACGGGTGCGCCCGGGGCTTCCTGTCACATTCTATCCCCGATGTCTGGCGTGTCACAGCCACGAACCCGAAGCAATGCGGCGGAGATCAGTAGCGCCGTCGCAGGACGAAAGGCGAAAAGTCGAACACAGCGGCGGGTGCAGCTGTGCGGGAAAATGATGCTTGTCGGCATCGGGGTAGCGCTGGTGTCCATACTATGCAGCGGCGGTGAGTGGTAGAGAGGATGTGGGTGCAGGGTGTCCAGTAGGCTGGCCTATTGTGTTAACCGTCTGTGTGGCTTGGGATGAGTAGCCATGGACTTGATGTGAGCGCCATCGACTAGGTAGCCAAGAGATTACAGCACAGCAGTCCGGGTCGGCACAACAGCAGTATCCTGATCTTGGATCCTCCCACACGCGTGCAAACGGAGTGCTTGCGCTTACGCCCACGAGCCTTACTGGAACATGCCAGCCTTGCAGTCGAATTCGTCGTACGCTTATATAGTTTGGGCATTGCAGCTGATCGGAGGTGTTGCTATGTGGTATTGTATTGTATGCTTACCACGAAAGAAAGAGACGGTGCAAGGGGCAAGGTGCAAGACCAAGATCGCCACCACTGCCCACGATATTCTTGCACAAGTTCAGATTTGAGAGCTTATGCTTGAGGAATCTCGCGATGGACTCACGGTGGTTGATGGGCCCTCTTGCGTTCGAAATCCACAACTTGATTGTTGGCTATTCGCAGCAGGTCAGCAAGGCAACAGATATCCGGTCTTGGGGAGCTTCCTGGACTCTTCGAATCGCGCCGCATCCGACGCAAGCAGGGGAGAGGCCCAATCCACTTGCGCCGACCCGAAGAGGTGGCTCAATCCTGGGGGACATGACATGCTCTCGGAGCTCCCTAGCTTTGGACAGCATAATGCATCCATGCTCTGGGGTACTTATCGCCCCGGCGTATATTTCGGTGAGAAGGTACGCCACGGAAGTACAAGGCGGCGTGCTCTACCGGTGTAGAACGATGGAGGCATCTCGGATTTGCTGTGTTTTGAATTGAAGGCAAGCCAGCTCGACGTACGGCGCCGGTGCATTTCGCCAGTACCGACTCCCCGACAGCAATTGTCGGCAGCTGAGGGCCCGGTAGATTATCTCGCACCCAGGGTATGTTCCATACTTCTCCGAGAAACACGGTCCGCGCCCGTTGTTAGCCTGCTCGTGCGTGGTGTGCACACACAAACGCCCGCCGTGGTGTTGGAAGGGTCAGCCACACTGGACGGGTCAGCCTGCGCGGTGTCTCGGTTACAACCCTTACCGCAATTCAAGGTCTAACATTCTAGCCTATGATGAACACCTTCCCGCACGTGGAAGCGACACGCTGGGCCTATTTTTGTTTTGACGACCCGGTTGATTAAGTAACTGGTTTTCGACCCAACCGCCAACCCAGGGTTCAAGACACGAACGTCTCCGGTGTCGGTGACCGGCGGCCTGATGTGGCATGGGGGAGACGGCCACAATGGTTTACCTCCCCTGCGCCACGAGTGCAGCGAGGGGGACGGGTTGGGGCCTTACGGGTGGGTGGAACACGACGGTAGGAGCTACGGCAAGCAGGACATTGTGGACAAGAAGGCTGGTGTTCGCCTCGTCACGTCGATGGTCAAACCAGCACAGCTCAAGGACCACAGCAGTTCCGACCGAGACACGTCAGACGGTGAGCCAGGGGGCTAACGTCAATCCTTGCATCGAACAGCAGGAAACCTGGGTTGTAGCATACCATGTTCTCGAGTGTGAAGGCTGCATTTGTTTTGCGGAAGCAATCAATGTACAGAGAGCTTCACGTTTGTTTTAACCTCGAAGTTTCCCCTGACTTGCCTCTGTGGATTGATTACCTCCGCCGCCTGCCCCCTCCAACGCGACCGTTTCCAGTGCTCCTGGCGTCTAGGGTAGAAGTTTTCCCTGCGGGATCGGATGCATCGCTGCGACCGTCCACCATCTATTTCTACATTGGGCTGGACTGCAATGCCGCCGTCAACAACGATTCCGAGGAGTCATGTTTCGCAGGTGGAACATCTGGCCTCGAAGTGGTCCATCCAGAGTCCAGCTCACAACAGTCCTTGCTGGTTAGAGGGGCCCATCCACAGCATGGCGCTTTCGATTTGGAGGCCGCGGTTGTCTCGAACAGAGATAGTGACAGTTCGTCCTCGGAAATGGAAGGTGTCGTTGCTTTCTTGGGCAAGAAGGGTGTTCCGATGGCGGACGCGAAGAAGGAGGTGGAGAAGCGCCTCGAGGCACACCGCCGTGCGAGCCGAAGAGCTCCTACAAGCGAAAAGGCGGACAGAGGACCATTTGTTCTTCCAAACGAAGCTGATGCTGGCAGCAACGTGGTGCTCGTACAGGTACACCACAGGCTTGCCGTGTCTGCTCCAGAATCCATGCGTTTCATGCTCTCCAATCGCAGGCGTGCAAGACGTAACAATCGCGCTTGTGGGCTACTATGTACAGTATCACTGGGCCAGAGTGCAGCAGCCCATGCAGAACTTCTACCTTCTGTACCCGACTTCAATACATATACCGCAAATGTTTCCACTAGGTGGACGTCGAGACATCTGCCTTGCACATATCTTCTCCCTGACTCTTCCTCTCCTGAATTCTGAAATTCTGGTAAATACAATCAAGGTGGTTGGAGAGGCTCCTTTCACGGTAGACTTCGTCGTTCGGGCTAGCACCCCCGGTGGAGACGTTAAGACTCCCACCGCCAGCAGCGGCGATGGAACAATGGCCCGGCAGTTCGTGGCCCCGGCAACGGTCTCGGGCTGGCTGGAGGCCGGTTCGCGTTCATTCTCGGAACAGTTTCGGGAACGGTTCTCGTTGGAGGACAAAGGTTTCGAAGAGCGAGATGTGGCGGCGGCGAAAGCGGCCTTGTCGAACATGCTTGGGGGTATGGGGTACTTCACCGGGAGGTCGGAAGTGCGAGGGGCCGGGCGAGACGGCGGGAACGAGGTCTCGTTTGAAACGAGCCTGTTCACGGCTGTGCCGTCGCGAAGTTTTTTCCCGAGAGGATTTTTGTGGGATGAAGGGTTTCACCAGGTGAGTGAGTGCATACGCGAGGAGTGTGGAACCGGGCGGCTCGGCATTTGTTCAATACAAGTGCGTCATGGAAGCGGGAAAGGTGCTTTCGAACTGTCCCGCCCAATGTAGCAACTCGGGTTGAACTGGCTCTACATGAAACTAAATGCATCGGTCGATTTACAGCACTTTGCAGCAAAGTGATCCTGTTGGTCAAGACGTGACTGCGAGGGGTTCACGCCCATGTACATCTCCACTAGCTCTGTCGGGTGTTGGCCAACTCGTAGCACAATCGTCACTACATCAGCAACGGAATGTCATTGGACTATCTGTTCAACAATAGCCTCCATGCCCTCACTATTTACCATCGTGCACGGTAGCGGCCGGCTAGGTTTTCCTCTCCAAGCTTGCATTCACTTGCGGCCGCCGGCTTGTGTCGATGTATGTTTTTCGCCAGTTGTTGGTCTCTGCATGGGACAGGACGACCTCAGTGGACGTCCTCGGCCACTGGCTGTCGGTCATGCATGTCCACGATACGGCAGGAGAGGTCGCAGGCATGGGATGTTCTGGCGGTTGGCTACCTCGAGAGCAAATCCTTGGGGAGGAGGCTAGGAGAAGGGTACCGGAGGCTTTCATGGCGCAAGTGAGTGTGGACGGTAGGCAGTGATTAAGGTTTCCCGTTGTTCCAGGATCAGCCAGCCCGCTTCGATGCATCGGGTGCCTGGAAGCACTCAACGTTTTCCTTGCTAGCTCGAACCGGTTGATCTACCGCACAGCCGTTCCTGTTGTTGGTCCATACAACCACCGTGTAGCTCTTCGAACGTGGCCGTTGCATGCATCTTTGCGCATTTCCCCCCATGCTTTGCGTAGAAAAGTCAACCTTCGTGTATTGTTTATCCCGGCACGGGCCATGCAATATCCGTTTTGCTACAGGATGTCTCCGTAGCCAACCCGCCAACGCTCCTGTTGCTGGTGGAAAGACTACTAAGTGATCTTCCCGAGCGTTCAAGCGACGAGGACAGCACCCCTGCTACAGAGACCTGCACAGCAGAGGCGGATGCAAATGCGGCGGGAGCGTCGTCTCAAGGATGCTCTAGGGTAGGAGACAAGCAAGCGGAAGAACTGGAGCTAGGAGAGTTCCTCCGGAAAGCCTACCCTGTTTTAGACCTGTGGATCCGGTGGTTGCTTATTACTCAGCGGCCCGGGGCTACGGGGTGGGGAAGACAGGCGAAAAAGGCACCGCTGGGGGCGTTTCAGGTGATAACTCGCACGTGGAAGTGTCGCGTCATTTCGTACTAGAGAGGCCGTTCTGCTTATTGATTCTTGATGGAAGTATGTGTGTAGGTGAGACATAGGGCGCCTCTTGGGCGATGTCCGGTAAAGGTGCCAAAGCAGCTCTTGGGCTGTATCCGCTTGAATCCACTTGCTCATTAATTAACATACAATGGCGAGCATCAGCTCGCAGTCATGCCGGTGCTGCATCGTTTGCTTGCAGCGTTTCCCAGCAATGCCGATATCCACTACGAACCCCCGCTCAAGTAATCCCTACGCCCCTTAGACCGCAGAGCCATGCAGGTTGTCTAAACGAGACAACTGGGCTCTAGTGGGAAGCATACCTCTCGCGCAGGTAGGAGAGAGCGTCTTTTTTTTACAGTTTTGGAAACAGTAGAGTTAATCACCTACCTTGATTGCTCGGCGCTAATGCAACGGCAGTGGAGAGGACGTGATCCAGGCGACGGTCGGCTGAACGCGCTCACACTGGCGTCGGGACTGGACGACTATCCCCGGGCTTCCCACCCCTCTCAAAACGACGAGTGGCACGTCGACGTCGTCTCTTGGCTGGCTCTGAGCTGCCGATCAATGCAAAGGTGGGTGGGCTTTTTGGTCAGGGTGTTTGGGGTCAACAAGAAATTCTGGTAGCAACACATTTTGTTTCTTTTATTGGTGGTGTGAGGATCCCGGCGGCAGCCTTGCTGTTTCTGTCGACGTCAGGTATTTTTTTTGAAGCGCGGTTTCTTGCAGCAACGGCAAGCTTTCGGGTTGATGTGGCAATCAATTGGGCATCGACATCCATAACCTTGTTTGCGTCCAGGTTTTGGAGGTAACCGTGATCCGATGGCCATTACATTTAGTACGGTAATGGCGCCGCAAAAGACACACTCAGAGACGAAACTGCATGGTGTTTCGGCTTGCTGTCTCGAGCAACATCGATAGAAAGGTGTTTTGCTTGGTTTCGTTTTTGATATGGCAAGAGGACGCGAGAAAAAACCTGCTCTCTGATATTTGCCACCATGCCGATGACCGACATATTCCGCTCTCTCATCCGCCTGCGTGGTCCGATAGATTGTCGACCGCGATAGGTGTGGAGGGTAGCGTTCCATACGGCCACCTGTTCGATGAGTTGATGGAGGGACTGTTGGAATTTCATTGGGATCAGGAGGAGGAAGCCTTCTTCGACCGGGGGCTGCACGTTTCCGACGGCCGGCTAGTGGATGAAGTCATCATGCGCTGCAAGAACGGTGCGCGATCGCCGGACCAACAGCGAGTTGTAGTTCGTCACTGACGAGTTCGCTACGCTAGGGAATAGTTTGTTGTTGGGGCACTTCGCTTGCAGGGGACAGCTGCTGCTGCAGTCATGCTAGCCGCGAAGGACTGTGCCTGATGCCTAGGTGTTCTTCCTTGGGGAATAATGGATCATGATAGCCCACCTAGTTGCTTTTGCTAGCGGGGTTGTGGTGCCTCAAGGTGTTATCGGCATTCCTCCCTGAAGTAGTGTACCCCCCCCACCCCCCCTCGTCCGATTGCCTTCACACCTTTTCAGCGGACGGAAGCACCGAAGACATCGGTGTACCATTGGAGGACGTCCAGGCTCGAAAGGCAGTCTGCGCACCAGGCCAGCAGCACATGTATCCCTTGGGAGACGGACGAGGCGGGCTGCTGACGCGACGGAGGTGGTCGGGGAGTCCCCCACAGCCCCAGCACGTGCAGCACATCGGCGAGGATAATTTTGTTCTGTAGTGGGGTATGCTTCTCGATCACACCAAGAGAGGTCTAGAGCTGGAAAACCACAGCGGACCCGACGCCTACGGTAGATGAGTAGGCATTGTAGCGTTCTGAAGGGGAACGTTCGTAACCGTACACCCTGCCTACCAGTCCCCTTCGCCTATTGTATGGTGGTGTAATGCGTCACCCCGTGTGTTTCTGACTCTTCTCTTTCCCGCTCGCCTTCCCGGCTCATGATCAGGCTACGTAAGCATGTTTCCTTTGCTGCTCAAGCTTCTCCCCCCGGAGAGCCCAGCAGTTGGGAGTCTCTTGGCGCAGATGAGGTGAGCATGGCCTGAGTGCCCCTAATTAAAAAAGTCGACCGCAACCCGCAGCTGTTTCGCTTGTCAGCGTAGTATGCGTAGTAGTGCCACTGTCAGTCTCCTCTTGGTGGGTGTATTTCAAGTCGTGCGGAGCGATACATACGCGTAGAGTTTTGCAGCGAAAAGTCTACATGCACCACAACAGACCGGCGTCCACCCTCTATACCTGCACTATTCCTAACGTTCAGCATATGCAAAGAATCCTTGCTCTGCCCGAAGCCATTCACCGGTGAGCCACCAACTGATGCTGTGGAACAAACCGAACTGATCCCACAGGGACTCGACACAGCTGTGGAGCCCACATGGGCTTCGGTCGCTGTCGGCGTCAGATCCATTTTACCAGGTGGAAAATAACCCTGGCGACGAGCCGTACTGGAGAGGGCACATCTGGGTCAACGTTAACTATCTCGCCCTGGCTGCTCTGTCGCACTACAGCCAAGCCGAGGGCCCTTTCAGGCGAGTGGGCGGATAAGACACGATCGAACGCTTTGACCAGACCGCCTGTAGGGACCTCTCGCCTAAATTAGCCACGAGCAGTTGCGATGTTACAGAGGTGTATATGATTGTCATCGTAATATCGAGCGACTGACCGGCTGTGCCGTGTAGCCAAGGGTGATATATCAGGTGTGGTAGCACATTAAGTAGCATAATGAAATCAGCAGTCAAGTCGTGACCACTTGGTGTGATGCCTCATCGGTAGCTCTGGCGAGTTTTCCACCGTTCGTGTTCTTTCCTGAATGGACGAAGGAGGAGGTGTGGGAGGAGATTGTCATCGGTCACCCGACCTTCCCCTGCCATTCTACTTGCATCGCCGGAAATTGCGGGGTCAGTCGGTGACACTTGTTCTTCTTGATCCGACACGGTTCGTTGGGGTGTTGATTCGTGTAGCCCCCTGGTCTCTTCGACGGTCGGCGTCGAAGAAACCGGCACAAGTCACTCCCTCAAGTACAGTACAAGAAAACATGACCACGTGCGTATCCCCGAACGTCCTAGTGTTGCTCGCGTGTGCAAGGTTGGGTTTGCTCGCAGCCTTGCCAACCAACCGCTCTTTTTAAGATTTCTGCAACAACCCGATTTTGTGCATCCCATGGAACTCAGGAAAGACGCGGGCAGGATCTACACTGAGCTTCGGACTAATTTGTTGCGCACTCTTCTCGGGGGTTACCAGTCCACGGGTTACTTCTGGGAGCAGTACGACGACCGTAGCGGGCGAGGGTTGAGATCGCACCCTTTCACCGGTTGGACAGCACTCGTTGTGCTCATCATGGCGGAAATATACTGAGTGATATTCCCGGCATCGGCATCCAACGCGGCGGATGAATCAATAGTCGATTTCGTACCATGTGCTTGCTCCACGTTGCTCTAGAGCTGACCTACCTGTGTCGAGCTCGTGCATGCGAGGTCGGGGTTACCTGGTACCACTTACGCACGTTTAAAACTGTACAGTATATAGTAGAACGATATTGGTGGACCCTCGCCACTCGCCATGCTTGGTCTAGGCGTTCCCATGATGATACATTTGGTCACGATTTCAGCTTGTATCATGATCGTCAGCTACACGTTCATGAACAGAGTCGGTCTTGTTATTTGAAGTGTTCCGGCGGCACTGCATTACTGCAGCTTGATTCCGACATTTTTTGGAAGGAGTGTTTTTCTGTGTTGGTTTTATGGCGACAACTCCTCCTGCGCAGCAGCGGTTTGGATAAAACGTGAAGTGGTGAAACCTTGAGGCTTGGATTACAATGCACACATGCACATAATTCCGCAATCCGAACCTCCTCGAATCGGTCTCAATTCACGTACGTACGTTGATTACTGCAGTTGGTAGAGATGCAAAGTTTTCGTTCCAACTGCTTGGTAGGACGGATGTGGGTACACACAACAAGGCAAGAAAGAACAATTCAGCAAATTAATTCTGTTTGCCCGAACGATGCGTTATTACGGTAGGACGGGAGCCGGTGAGTGTGTGGTAAATGCACGAAAAAACACTCATTTCAACGAAATTGAACGTATATTTTCTTCACAGCGCTGTTCGTCCGTTTGTGGTTCGTCTGCTCAGCGGGGCGTATTAGAGGGCGAGAGGCAAGAGGGAAAGTTTGCATGTGGAGCAGGTGGGGAGAGAAATAGCTTCGTATTCAAACAATTGTACTACGAGAGCGAGAGAGAGAGAGAGAGAGAGAGAGAGAGAGGATGCCGTCGGTGACACAAAATACCACCCCCCCTTTTTTTGAGACCAATTTTCAAAGCTCCTACGCCACAACGAAGAGAGAACGGATGCCAAAACAAATTATATCTATTCCGAAAGATGTCGACGAGACGGTTCCAACGCCGCCTTTTGCATTTTTTCTTATGCATACTCTGTATTGCTGTGTGGAGTGTGGAGGAATCGAGCTTTGAAAAATCGGTCCCAAGGGGGTATGGTATCTTGCGTGACCAATGGTACGGTACCCCACCACGTGGTTTTTCGGAATATTCCACATCACACCCCCCTTGTACGCTACGCTTCGCGAAGTCCCCAGTCGCCAGAGGTTTTCTCCTGGGTCTACTGTCTATCTTGTAGAGCCGAAATCCCTCGGCAGACAGAGAGACAGCGCGAAAGGAAGGAGCGAAAGAGCGGGCGCGCCAACACCTGGGGTCCTTACCGAACGTGCAAGGATGCCGGCGAGCGTGAAGCCCCCAGTGTTTACTTCTATGGTCCATCGCAAAGTTCAACATCACACATCTTGGCAAGGTGAGGGCGGGGGGTACACCAAAAACTATGACAACTTTTTGGCCGCGGCGGCGGGCGCTTCTCTTGCTTGGCCGTTCACGTTCCTCGGCCTTCTCCTGTGAGACCCCGGGTGGTGTGAGGGGTTTGGCGTAGCACCGCCTACCCTCTCCGCTGTGTATGTTGGTCTCCACCGGGCTATGTATGTTGCTTGTTGATTCATTCATCCATGTTCCGGTGTGTGAGTTTTGAGTGTGTTGAACACAAGTATCGGTAAATCCTGCCGCATACAGTCCGGTGCGCCTCGTGCTCTCCCGAGACAATCCACAGCTATGAGGCACATACATATCGCCCCGCCGCCTTCCTCCGCCCCCCCCCCCCGCCCCCGTCTCTGCGCACAGACGCAGATTTCCAGCCAGATGACCTTGGCTTAGACTTGACTGATCTCTCGACCATGACGGGCTTTCTCATGAACGAAGTGCCCGACAACACGGGCCACTTCTATCCGCCATGGGCGAACGAGCTGTCTCCGCTTGTCAAGGATGAGCCTTCGGCCTTCATGATGCCGGACCCTGCCGCCCCCCGGCAACCCCAACCAAGACAACAACAGCAGCAGCAGGACCAACGCTTGCCAGCACCAGAAGGGTTGCCTGCTGCGCCGGTCGCAGACCCGGCACTGGACGTGATCATGGGGGGGGCTACCGGCAGCAGCCGCCCAGGAAGCACAACCAGCAGCAGCAGCAGTGGGGCCAGCAGCATGCTGCGGGCGCCGAAGGCTGCTGCCGCTGCAGGAGCAGCAGCACTGGGAGGGGTCGGGTCAACATTCCGCAAGACGCCGGCGGGGGGGGTAACACGGCGGCGTTCATCTAGCAAGGAGGAGCAGGCGAAGAAGCGGAGAGAGAGGAACAGGGTCTTGGCGCGCCGAACTCGCCTGCGCAAGAAGTTTTTTTTCCAGTCCCTTCAACAGCAGGTTGGTTGGTGCTCACAGCAAGCAAGGGAAAGAGAGGGGTGGTTTAGTTGCCGGTGCCCTGCTGCTGTATGTGCCGGGACGCAGGGATTGCTGTTTGATTATGCTGGGGGTTACGGGAGGCTCGCGGTAGGGTTTGGTAACCGAGCACAAAAGCGGAATTTCAAATTTCCGATTGCTATCCCCACCACCATCATGGTTTGCACCAACACAGGTGCAACCAGTGTCCTTTTCTCTCTAGTATTCAGTGTACAAATTTGCTTCGAAAGTTTTTTGCTACGCTTGGTGCACAATTGAGGCGTCTGGGGTTATAGGGAGGTGTGTGTGTGTGCTTATAGCAATACCAAGGACCGTCCAACCTCTCCTCGGAGTGAGAGCGAGAGTCTGTGAGACATGGAACAAAGGAGGCTTATTGTAGTAATGTCGGGTTGTTGGCGACGTTCTGTTATTTTTTGTATGTATGATAGGAGGGCAAGGAAGGAGACCTAAACAAACCTGGAGCGCCAGCACACACACGCCCGGCTTTTTTTTTACAATAACGGGGAGGGGGCATCCGGGTTGTTCGGTCTTTTTGAAACTCCCCCATGGAGTGAGTCGTTGAAGTCAACCAATCAGCGCACGACCGCAGCCCAAGCTATTGGTCGCGAGGTGGCGAACATGATAACACCTGGAATATGGTTTCTACATACACCAGTGTGCTGCAGGGTCTTGAAAATTGAAATTTCACCTGTGTGTACCCGTGCGAATTCGCAGAATGGAGACGGTTTCTTACGTGGCGTGATTTATTTTGGCTTTCTCCCCCCCCCCGCCCCGCGCTCGTCAACACTACACGCAACCATTTTCAGCAACTTGGGAAAACTTTGTGCTAGTTATTAGTAGGTCGGCGTCGAAGAACTTGCTTCCAGGCGACCCGCCCGCAACGCTCGAGGTTGTTTGATTTCCATATTTTCTCATGTACAAAGGGGGCGATATTTCGTCCCCTCCCGGACCAAACTCACTGTCAGTAGGCCTCCTTCTACCACTTCTCCTAATGTGCGGACATATACGAGGTTGCTGCGTGCCTCCGTTCGTTCTTAATGGAATGTCGTGCCGGAGATGTTCGTTGATGGAAGTACACACACACCTCAAGCGTGCTTGCACATCATTTCTTGGTTGTGGTCCACACCAATAGGAATTGGGTGTTGAAGTTCCTCTCCGGGAATGCTGAGTTGCTGCTGAACAATGCAGTGCGAGTTGGTGGAGCGCGGTGCCGCTATTGTAGTGTGCAGGAAGTTTGTTCACGTCTGTATGCTATGTGCCATTTTCCACCAGTCAGTGAGAGCAGGGCAATCACCTCAGAAATCAACCCGATGAACCATTTACGACGTTTTGGTTTGTGATGCGATATTGACATCGACATAAATTTGAAAAGCACCTTTGTCGCAAAAGCGGACCGTCTTGTCAATCCTATCCCTACCACTCGTCCGTTTCCCTATTAGTACGTGGCACCAGGACATAGGACATGCTGGTGTGGAATCAGGGTTTCAGGTAGACGCTCTAGAGTTAAAAGTCGACCCACTAGCAATCAGCATGTTCATAGATATCGAGGAACACCCGCGCTCCAACCTTTGCGCATCAATCAAATGAGTAAACCAAACGAGAAATAATTGCCGAACACGTAATGTGGTCAGGTGGCGCGCCTCCAGCGCGAAAACGAGCGTCTGAAGGGCATCGTCACCACGAGATGCCCGGACTCGGTTGGCGAGATTCTCATGAGCTGCAGGTCAAAGATGCCTTCCATGGTGGCGGACTGCGCCGGCCAGGCAACCGCTGTGCTGGACCAGAGCGGCTTCCTATTGGTCAAGGCGCTCCAGTCCAGCCAGCCGAGCTTCTGCGTCACGGACCCGCAGATGCCGGACAACCCGATCGTGTACGCGAGCGACACGTTCATCGAGCTCACCGGTTACGACCGGGCGCAGGTGCTTGGGAGAAACTGCCGGTTCCTCCAGGGGCCGGACACGGACCCAGATGCGGTGGCGAAGATCCGCAAGGGGATCGAGGAGGTACGGCGCGGTACGCATAGATATAATCATGGCGTATTTTTCAGGCATGGCCATTTCCGCGATATCGTGGCGGTGTAGGGTGTTTGAATTGAAGTCTACCAGCTTGCTTCCCCCGGGCGAAGATATCGTAGCTAGATTGCTCCGACAAGACCGGACTGGTGGCGTAAGACTCTCGACCGCACGTTTCAAACACTGTCCGTTCCGGTGCCGATGCCGAATATCTTTCCCTGCTACTACTGTACTGTACTTGGGAGATAGCGAGCGCGAAAATCGTTCCATGCCGTGTGACACACACACCGCTCGTGCTGTCTCCTTCGAACAAGACCTATGGCCTATGGTCGAGAGAGTTGCGTGATCATATGAAACTGGCGGGCGTTGTTTCCCTCTGCGTTGCGGTCGTGACGTGACCAAAATCGTGTTTCCTTGGTTGGCGGTGTAACTGACGGTTTCAGACCTTCGAAGCGCGACTACGAAAACGTTTGACTGAAAAGACCCGCTGTTGCAGAGAGATAGCATCCGCACGAGCACCTGCGTTGCGGCAGAATCCCTTCATCACGTGTGCACCGAGCCTGCGTCGCGTCAAGCTAAAGCTACAGCAGCTTGTCTCGCCCTTCCACCACAGATGGCCGGACAACGAGCGAGAGACCTAACTCATTTTTTTCGTGACGGCTTGTCCCGCGGCTGCTGTTTTTGTGGGCCTTTTGTGTGCGACAGGGGTCGGACACGTCGGTGTACCTGCGCCAGTACAAGGCTGACGGTACGGTTTTCTGGAACCACGTGTTCGTGGCGGCCCTTCGGAACAGCGAGCACAAGATCATCAACTACGTTGGTATCCAGCATCCGTTGGACAAGGTAAGCAAGCAACCAAGCAAGCGCCTGTTCTCGCGTGGTGGCTCCATCCATGTCCGGGGCCCCGTCCAAGTATAATTGTAGGATGAGCGTGTACCGCGAGGAGACGTGTTTTTTTCGGGTTTCCATACAGAACGCGCCCGCGCTAATGAAGCTCTATAATAGTTTGGGTCGAGGCTGGGGTTCTTACTGTATTCCTAGGGTCATGCTACGAATGGTCGCTATATAGGTTTTCGTGGGTCTTAACCGAGCTCAGAAGCATGCGCAAGTTGTTATTTGTTTATTATCTTTTGGGTTCATTTTCTTAACTTAGGGTTCTTAAAAATGCGGGCGCGTTCTATATACCTATCGTGCTCTGATTTTCAATTCTCCAGCCACACATTCAGATGCAAGTACTGTACGCGTAACGTGACGGTTTTGTGTACTTGTCCCGTGCAACGCTCTCTCGCACCCCCGGACGGCCCATGTGCAGGAGCCCTCCCCCGAGGTGGTTGCCTGCATCAACAACGGCAAGGAGCAGGAGATCATGTCTGTCCAAGAAGAAGACCGCCCGGCGGGGTGGGGTGGGCAGTGGCCAGAGGACGTAAACGGGGACCTGGCGACCTTGGACCATTTGATGGCAGGCGGGTGGGGGACGGATTAAGGGGCGCTTGTTGGCTCGTTGGCTGGGGTAAGGGTGAACGCACGGCGGGAGGGGAACGCGGCTGCGGGGTAAGAATGGGGAGGTGATGTCAGGGCCTTGCCTTGTCCTTTCTAGTGAATCATGCGGCAGCGCGCCCTCGATAGGCACATGCTGGCGTGTGGGCGATCGTGGAGAGGGAAAAGACAACGGAAGGTTTTGGCGCGTCGCTCCTGCGACCAAAAGGAGAACGAGAAGAAAACAAAACAAAACACGGCGGTTAGGACGAAGCAAGGCCTTGTGTATATAGTATTTCCTGGCGATATCTTTGGCCAGTTAGTAGTAGGGGAGTCGAGTTACTTGAGTTGATAGACCAACGAGTTAGCGAGGGAGGGGGCAAGAAGGAGAAGGGGAGGGAGAGAAAGGGTTGGGATCGGCGTGGAAGCTCACTCTCTCTTCCGCTACTGGTTCACGATGTATCGTAACGCCCGACCCGCTTTGTCAGACTTGCAGCGAATATATCCACGTTTTTTGGTGTGTTTCGGTTCGAAGAAATGTCGACCCGTCGCCGTTCGCAGGGTGTATCCATACCACACCCCCCCTGCGGATGGGCCGTGGCGCGTACTTCAGTACTTCGGTCGTCCGAAAGGCGGATCAATCGCAATATGGACGACTGATCAATAACGAGGGGCAAGAATACGGCCAAGTCTCGGTGTCATGCGGTGTGTTCGCGGTGTTCGGGATTAGACTCGTGACGGGCAATCAATCGAGTCTATATCGTGTAAGTGTCTGGGGGGTGGGGGGTAAGTTTGCTTTGGAGATTTTCAAAAGGCTCGGTTTGTGTACGGGGCGGTGGGGCCTGGTTGGCTGTTTTGATCTTTTTCTTGGTACAGATGACGTTTAAGGGGGAGCTCTCGTGCTAAGATTTGCTCGTCCCAAGGCCCTTGCGCTTCTTCCTGCGTGCGCTGGGCTGGGTGTTGGTCATCGTGCTGGTGGTCGATGGTTGTTGCACGCCATCATACAAGTTTTCTTCTTCGGTGTAACAATAAAGTTTTCCACGTGCTCTTATTGGGTTGGACGGGCAAGACGGATGGTAGTTTGCCTACGTGTTTTTTAGTTTTCCCCGTGCATTTATATCTCGATGATGAAAGTGAAAAGTTGATGGGCGAGAGGGCACGGCCGACTTCTTTTTTCTGCAGTATTGATAGAATTTTCTTTATTCTTTTGTGGGCACACGAGAAGCGGAGGCGGTTTCCCTCAATCGGGATAGAAAGAGGAAGTAGGGAGGCGATTCAGGAAATAATACCAATACCGCGTTCGCGAAAGATAGATAATTTAGCCGGCTCCTGCTGTACATGGAGCGATCCGGTTTTGCTTGAGTGCAGCGGACATTCCCAAAGTCGAGCGGTGTTTGCGTCGCGCAGGATGAGCTTGGATGTGGTGGGGAGATCAAAGAGAGAAGCACGCCGGTACCATGCGTGACGTAGACTGTTGGGGTGTGTTTGGGCACATGGCGCGCAAGCGCCTAGCCGTGAGAGTGCACGGCGAACGCCCCTATCGAAGCGCAGGTATTGGTCGCTCAGCTTGTCGTGGTGGTGTGCTGCTTGGTTTGCGATAAAGTTGAATTTGAAGGCCGAGTACAGTAAGGTCGGACCGGTTTGTGTGTGCGTGCGTAACTGCCTCAAGTATTTTTTTTGTCCTGTTGTGTTTTGCCCGTGAAAGAAGGTTTGGGACATGCAAGCACAGCAGCTGTAAGTGCTCTGACGTGTGGCTCTTCTTGTACTGTACTTCGGACCTTTGTGAACTCACGGCACTTTAGACGCTTCCAAGCTTGCTACGTACGCTGGGGGTAAACATAACCGTGTCCGAGTTTGGCATGAATAAGTTGGTTGCACACCAGAGAACAATGGTCATTAAGTTTGCTCTCGAGACCGTTCCGCGGCCCAACGTGTTGTTGACTGTTCACACTGAGCTCGCGAGAACAGATGGTATTCAGGTATCATGATAATATCCGGCGCAAGATCGCGCGAAAGAGTCTAAAACGGTCAACAGCGGGGGGAGGGGGAACGTGGTGTCCATGAGACAACCAGTCCTCTCCAGGTTGCTCGATTCACTCTCCACTGTCCTCGACGAATGTTCGTGAGTTTCAAGCCCAGAGGGGGGTCAAAGGGAGAGTTCGCCGACGCCTGTCTTTCTCAGAGCCTAAACGTACCGCCCACCACCTCTGAAACGTGTTGTCTGTCTTTCGACGCCGCGCCGTGGCATCAAAGAACGCACGATAGTAACTACCGTATCCGCCCACCTCTCAACACCCACAGAACGTGAAGCAAGTCAAGTCCCAAACGTGATGATCTATCTGTTTCTCATCGCACAAACTTGCTCCACCTTGACGATGAAGAGGGACCGCTTGTTGCTCCCACGACACCGGTGCCACCGGGTGCACTGCTGTTCGGCGGTGCCGAAGCAGTGCTACTTCTTCTGCCCCTACCGTTCCACTCTGACGGGAACATACTCCCGTCCCTCGACATGCCACCGTGACCACTAGTGCTGTGGGCGGGGCGAGACCACTCTTGCTCAACGACACCAACACGAACACGGCTCGTCCCGCACGGATCCCGCCTCCCGTCTTCCCATCCACCGTCCCGCATGTACGCCATCGCGTCCCCGTCCTGATTCGCGCCTGGCGCGCTTGAGGATGAGCAGGGCCAGTCGCGGCGCATTGTCACATTATTCTGCTGCCGCTGAGGATCACCCCCTCCGTGTGCATCGCCAGAGTCCGCCGTAGCGCCGTAGTTCGATGCCGCCTGCTGCTGGTATTCCAGGGTCCTGCGATACCTCAACCTTGACGCCCCGTGCCCCGTTGGCGAGTCTGAGCTGCTCGGTGGGCCGCGTTTCCTCCCTCTCTTCCCAGGCGTCGGGCTGGCGCGCCGCCTGGCCGGAGCTGTTTCGAGGCACGTGACGAAATCCGGGTCTTGTAACGCCTTCCACGTACGTACAAGACACAGAGCACAGCGGGCAAGAGCGTGGGGATGGATGTGAAGCAGACCCGATCTCGAGTAAGCTTTAGAGCAGGTGGTGTCAAGCCATGGCACGGGGGTATTGTAACCCTACGAGCTTTGGTCTTCTAGATGATAGAAACGGGAATGGCACGCGCAAAGGAGGCGTGAAATTACATCGTCCCAAGGAAAAAAACGATTCCGGTTACGAACACTTGTCCGCGAAAAAATTGTTTGTTGTGAAAGGAACCCTTCTTTGGACACCTGTCGCCAAAAGAAGGGTGCCATCCATGTAACCCCCGTCCGTATGCATATGTTTGCTTGTGTACACGGACTGCACCCGAATTTTCCCCGCCGAGGTAAAACTACGTAGGCACAGGCAGTTGGAACAAAAACCAGAGCAGTATGACAAAGGACTACTGTAGTGCCTAGTGTACCTCCTGGTTGGGCCCTCGGCGCCCCTCCAAGACCTCCGTTGCGCGGTTGGACGCAAACGCTCCCCATCGGCTACCACTTCTCCCCCCACCTCCCGCTGGTTCAGCGCCCGGCTGCCACGACGCACGCACATCGGGGTGGTGCTCGCGACTTGTCCCGAAACCGTCGCTCGGGTGCCTCGTCGCCTCCCCTGCCCGGGGGTACCCTGCATTCGAACGCCCATCCCACAAGTCCTGCGGCCCCGAGCTCACGCCATCCATCTTCTCGGCCCCCGAGACATGCCACGAGCCGACTGCGGGGTCATGCTCGTCACCGATGGGCGCCACACATGCGGGAACAAACCCGTCAGGTCGAGCCCAGCTGCTATTTCGCCCGTACAACCCAGGTTGTGCCGGTCCCACGGTGTGCTGGAGGGCGGCACGGTCAACCGTCGAATACGCACGGTCGCCGTCCTGGTTCCCGATTCTGTCGCTGGAGTTTCGGCCGTCCTGCTTGTGCCGCCGTGATTGTGATTGCGGCCCGAATCCTCCAACGTTGTTGCGCAAGACGTTGTTGAGGTCTTCCCCTCCCCCGGCGGCGGCGTTGAGCGCCATAACCAGACCGCGGACATCCTTCGCGTGACCCCCTCTACCCCACACCTTGACGATGCTCTGACCCTCACCGCACTTGATGGGCACGTCAGATTGATAGCGCAGAGAATGCAAAGGGGGAGCGATTGATAGCGCAGAGGATGCAAAGGGGGAGCGAGAGACAATGAGGTTCGGCTGGAACACAAAACATATACTGAATGGTGCCCTCATTGTGCACTTGCCGGTCAAAAACAAACCAAGCAATCAGCGTTGAACTCCAGACACCAATCATGAGCCACGGAAAACAATTTAGGCCACGTCCGGGGTGGGGGTGGGGGCGTTGTGTGTGCTCGGGGCTGTTCGTTCAATACGGATGGAAGGGGTCACCTACAAAAGCAGGAACGTGTGGTGGCCCCGAACGGGATCGAGCGAGCGTCGAGAAATGGAGCGTCGACAACGCCAAGGCAGGTAAGATGTGTTGCAGAACATCATAACCGAGAATACCTAACCCAGCGCGGTAGACCTCGTGTCCGTGCACTTCGCTCTCATCCCTGGGATATCAAACACAACAATCAAGCGAAACGAGGTGCGGTGCATGCACGAACACCAACCCTCTTTTGTCTTGACCAAAACAACTCACCATTCGGCACTTCCACTTGCCCGACTTGGTCCTTTGGTTGACTTGAAAACACTGCGGAGCGAAGGAAGGTGGAGAAGGAAGAGATCGAGGTATTTGCAAGTGTGTATATAGTGTAGAAGTGTAGCCAGTTTGAATTTTGAAAAGTGTCAACCGGCTGCCGTGTGGAAAATCCTGTCGGTTGACTGGCAAAAAAAAATGTCTCGCTTCGTGCCCTGTTCGTCCTGTTCTACGTAGAACGCAACTTTGCCAGCTCATATCTATATCATATGCATAGGAAGGACGACTTGAACGACAATCGGCCAGCCTATTGCCCTACATCCGTACGATAGAGATAAGGGATCGTAAGAGAAAGCTGGGCGAAGAGAGAGGGTAAACCTTACGTCAAGCCCCATCACCATGCCAAAGAAAGCGGTCCAGGGACACACCTGACAAGAGAAGCACCGCAGGGCCAGGAATACTATTCCTCCTCCCTCCATCTTCAGGTAGGATGGCTCTATTCGTCGGCGGCTCCTGCGCTCGTGTTGTGCATAGCAGAGTATAGCCTTGACCAGGTTTGCAGTTTGCAGGTCACGCGGGGAAATCGCGAAATCGCGCTCCGTGGTAATGATTATGCGGAGCCCCCGCAAGTATTAGTTAGCCGCGCGCGGGAGCGTGATTTTCAGCCTATCAAATGCTCCGGAGGCCGGTTCCAAAAAAGGAATTGAGCTGGCAAGCTTTCAATTGCACAACCTCTCAATTGCACAAGCTTTCCGCAGTCCCGATCAGGCACCTTGCTGGCGTCCGTCCGCAGCCCGCCTAACCGCTGGCTTCGCGCTCATAGGCTGCCGTTGAATCCGTGCCAAAGGACCTGTTGTAGCCGAGCCTGTTACTATAGATCGGTGAGTCATCGTTGAGTGCTTGATCAGCTTGGCGGATGAATCCGACGACGCCGACAGGTTTTCTTGCGCTCTACAGGCTTTGGCTACTACGTACATATGACGACGACATGCTACTGCTGTCGAACGTTGTTGCATACTGCATTCGGACATCGTCTGCCCGAGTGGATTGATAGTTGGCCGCTTTTAATCACCGGGGCGGTGGTGTACGTTGGTCATGTAGATCGAGAGAGCTTGCTGAGTTATCATTACTTGCGATCGCGGGTATAGAGAGCGACAGTGGTCTGATCCTCTGATCTTGTGTTTAGTGTTGGTCCCAAGTCCCAAAAATGCTTTGGTTGTGGTAAAAAAGAAAAAAATAGAGTGATGCTTACTCGAGTTGATAGTGGAAACGTTAGAAGCCGTTTGCCATCTATCCCATGACGCGTTTCACCCTATGCTGCCAACAGAGGGAGAACCATGCAAGACGGCCAGGGGGATGGAATGAACATGGCGTGGTTCAACGATATGATCTCCAAGGGATTCGTAAAGTGAGTATTGTAACCGGCCCGTTCAAACGTCCACGGAAGTTTTGCGTCATGCCGGCCACGATGTGTACTGTACCTACGGCATTCGCTCGTTTGGGGGCGTCTCGGAAGGCGCTATGCGTATGTATGTGGAAAGTTGGCGAAGAAACTCGTTATCGTTCTCGTTTGTCGATCGCTAGGGAGGCGGCCAGCTTTGTTTTTGTTTCGCCCGTCTTTTTCTTGACCAAAGGGTCAACGTTTACTCTCCAAGGTAGACAGGGACGGAATACGAATTCGACGTTCCGCAGTCTAGGGCTCAAGCTTACCGGTGTTCCTTCCATTGCTCACCAGTTGAGAAGGGAGACACTCCTATCGAGGAAAGACTAGCGCAAACGCCGCCGCCGGCCCCAACTGATCCAACAGCCGGCATGCTTTTCTTGCCTCGGCGGGCAACCACACCCATCAAGTCCTAGAACGATCGCCTTAAAAACTCCCCAATGTGTGCGTGTCCGACGTTTTGGTGGTCCATATAACGTATTTGTTTTTTCCCCCCCAGACGTGGCAAAAAAAAAAATGGTGTTGCGTCTCGGCATCTCGACGAATCTTGCCTTGTCTCGATTGCTGCCATGTTGCCATGCTGCCATTCCCTCGCAGGCAACGCCACCTACCTCAACACACGGGGGGACCGCCGGCTGCCGGGCATGCCGGGAGCCCCATCGAATCCATCCTCAACCCGGACGCAGCTAATGAAAACCGATCACCCGACAGTGACCAGGCGCCCGCTCCAGCGCAGCAGGTGATTGGTCTGTCCCCCGTACGCGTTTCACGAACGTTGCCGGAGGTATTGTCTGGAAATTCGCTGCTGGCGCCGCGCGAAATGGGGCTCGAGTACGACGGTATATCGACGTCTTGAACTGTAACTGTTCGAAGAATGCTCCCTGCTCTCCTCTGGCACCCGAGCCCGTTGAATGTATCGAAGTACTTGTCTGGTACCATCAGGGATAGAACTATGCATGGCCGTTCCATACTTTGTACCCCCGCTCGAAAATTGTTTTTTTCACGTGATAGGCACACTTTGACCCCGATATGTGGTACTTGTCTGATAATGCTCCCCCCCTCCCCAACCCACCAGCCCCAACCGCAGCAGGTTCAGGAAACGGGTGCTGCGTCGCGGACTTGGTTACAAAGCCCTCTCCGAGATTGTGCGCGAAACGCGGACGATGACGGCGCGCTCGCCCGATCCTTGCTCGACGCCGGTGCCCCCACCAACTTCTTCGATAGTGTGAGATAACGCATACACGCCCTTCGCCTTTTTTTTTTTTTTCTCTCGGGTATTTTTGTTTGTTACGGGCCCACCTGTGATCACGGAAGGAGTCTGCATCGGTTGCGGATGTTGGGAGGCGCTGAGCAGAGACCGGATTAGTCATGAATTTTTTATTTCAAGAGGACAACAACAACAACAACCAGTCCGGAGTGTGCCGCAAGGTCAGCCAACTCGGCCCATTTCATGCGTCCATGGCGTCCCCGGTAACTACATTTTTTTTCTTGGCGGGACAATACCCTCTCACAAGGCGCAGCATTTCAACAACCTCCCCTCCCCCTCCTCATTTGACGGAACTCCCCCTATATTCTCAGACGGGACGTTCCCCTCTACACTGGGCTTGTACCCGAGGGAACACAGCGGTCGTCCTGGCCCTTCTCGAAGCCGGCGCTGACGGGTCCGCTCGCGACGGGTCCGGGAAGACTCCCCTGCACTGCGCTGCTCAAGTCGGGCACACCACCGTCGTGATGGTGCTGCTCGAGTTCTACGGGTTCGCACCCATCGGATTGCCGCCAGGGAATGTGCCTGCGTCGTTAGTGGCACCGGCACTAGAAGCCGAGGAGTTGTCATGGCCGATGGCGGCACCGATGCCGCAGCAGAACGGTGTCGAGTCCATAGTCGACGCTCGGAACGTTTACGGGAGCACGGCGCTGCACCGTGCGGCGTTCAACGGCCGAGAGGGCGTCGTGCTGGCCCTGCTGAGGGGAGGGGCCGACGTCTGCGTCGTTGGGAATAGCGGAAGGCGAGTGCAGACTTGCTCGTTGGGGTTGATTACCTCCGAGTGTATCTCTAAGTTTGAGTTTTGAATGGGCTCCTGGCACCCGAGAAGGGCTAGTATAGCGAACGTGTGCGTATAGAAGGTAGATCACACGCTGGCGACGTGTGCCGTTTGCTTCTAGCAAAATCCACAGAAGAGCACCCCCAACGAGTGTATCCACGTCCAGCTTGCAGCAGTGCTCTGTTCACGATGCTGCCTTGCACACGAGACACGTACACGGCGTGCACCAGAAATTCACGGCCCCCTCTCCTCACTCGTATGATGTCGATAACAACAGGAGCGCCCTTCATCTCGCGTGCCAGAATGCGCACGCTGGTTGCGTCCAGCTTCTGCTCGCGTGGGGTGCCCAGGAGTCAGCCATCGCAAAGGATGGGTCCACCCCCTGGTCTCAGCTTGCGCTAGCCGCGGAGACCCGCCCCCGCGGCTGTCCCCGCGTGGCCAAGACAGCTTTGCTCCTCAACACGGCGCGAGGTGCTCGCGCTTGGGCTAGGCGGGGCTGGCTGCTGATGCTGAGGGACAAGCACAACCGAGGGGTGTTCGAGGCAGAGGCCATCGATTTAGACGGTAGAGGGGGTGCTTGTAGTGACATGGAGGACGGCCAGGGGGAGGATTTTGCGAGGTTGGTGAACCAACTTGTCGGAATTGGTGAGGAAGGGTGCTTCCGATTGGTGGTCGGCTTCCTTTAGACGAAGAACCAAGTTGGGTTAATGATCGCCGGCCCACAACCTTGTTGCCGTAAGTTGGCGTTGTGTCCTGTGTTTCTTTTTTTTTTGTCTCGATCATTAATCCTTTCCGTCGCTGTGGTGAATGACTTGCCTACAGGGCGCGCTTTTTGAATGGCCCTGTTTTTTTTTCCCCTCCTACAGTTCCTGATGCTCTGTTTTTCAGCCGCCAGGCACCCCCACCAAGCACCACCCTTTTCGGTGGGGTTCCTGTGTATCATCCTGTGTGATCCTGGCTGATGCGTCCAGCAGGTGCACCGAAAGGTGTTCCGCCTGATGTGCAGGATGGATGGGGTGTCACTCACCATAAGGTGCTAGTACCTTTCTTGTGGCTCACTAAAATATGCCTTGCCAGGCCCTTTTTTAGATCAAAGGGGGTATTGCTGAAGTTGTCCAGTGCGTCCCGTTGACCCCAATCAAGTGAAGTGAGCCATGGGATTTTTCCCACTTGTGAAGTTTCTTCAAGAAGTCGGTTATGGCCGGCGTATGTATACCTTTTTTTTTTTTGGCGTTGTATTTCCAGTTGTCGGCGTGATGCTGCTGTCGCCTAGATACTAGACGGGACACCTGCTCCCAGCGAGTGATTTTCTTTGGTAGAACAAATGTTTTTGGTCTCGCGATAAAGATAGACATGATTGGAGCAAGGCGTTCGTTCGGTAGCACGGATGTACAACCCCTTGTTTTGTTTTCCAGAAGTGGAGATGGGCACACGGGAGAGAACCAATCGTGCCTTCACAGCGTTGCTTGGAATACGGCAAGCGGATGTATACCTTTTCTGCATGGTGTAGGGGGCACGTGTGTATAGCCCTCTTGTTGCTCACGGTCAGCCGAAGAGGGAAGAAGGGATTGCCCGAGAGAGGAAGGTGTCTAAATAGGTACGAAGTGTACAGCGTGAGGTCGTAGCGGTTGGGGGGGTGACCCAACAAAGAAGCTTTGATTTTGTACAAGCCCAAGTTAATGTAAATGTATGCTTTCGGATAAGTGTTCATGTTTTCAAGCACGACGGCCAATGGTGGTGAGTGATGATGACGACCGGGGTTGTGCGGGGGGGGCAAAATCCCGCATCGTCGAACTCTTTCATTGGCGTCGCATAGAGCTCAAGCTGTAGTAATGCGTCAGCGAAAGGGGAAGAGACAGCATGTCACGCGCCCTTTGAACCGGTTGAACCAATGAATCAAGTGTCGCAGACACTCCAGGTAACGCTGACCACACAACACGCAATGCTCGAATATTTTAACAACCGAAATCAAGTCATTTGACCAGCCAGAAAGAATGTCGTCACGGCAGTCTGTTGTTTTTCGGGACGTGCGGGAGACATCGTGGTTCAGCTATGTTGATGCTAATGTTTACCTTTGCCCCAGGCGTACGACGAGAAAAAAAAACATCACCACTCCCGTGTGTCCGCACATACTCCGAAATGTGTCCGCATATACACATACCCGGTACATACGCGTACCACATTGAAAATACGTTTGAAAACTGAGGGAGATTGCATGCCCTACGACTAAAAGGGTGCCACACACAAAACGCCCGACCAGTACCTAACACATATCCTCTGCACCTTCCCAACATAACATATTATATATGAGACACACAAGACAGCTACCAAACTGTCTTGTTGAGCCTGTTACCCGCAGGAGAGATGTCCCTATATGCTGTCTGGGAAACCGTAGACATACAGGTACTTTCTGACGCTATTAATTCATTGCTATTATAATCTGTCTCAGACTCTTTTCTATGATAGAGAGAGATGGATTCGTTGTGTCATATTAAGAAAAAAAAAAAGTAATAATAATAATCGTGCCCACGCTTGTCTGATCGTCACCCCGTCATCTCCGGTGGTAGTACTGCTGTAGTCCGCCGAAACGATAGCCTTTTCGGTTTTGGATGGTTAGGTCCCTGCGTTCTGATACAGTCTAAATGGAGGAAGAAAGGCCGTGTGACGAGAATTTTCAGTGCCGGTTCGTGTCTGCATACTACAAAAATACAAATCGACTGCAATGTTGAAGTTGGGGAAAGAGGGCTGTGGAATTTATTTGTCCCTGACACAAGGGTATTCCAACGAATAATTTTTCTTTTAGCTCCCCGCAATCATCACCGCCGGTTGGGGGGGGGGTTGAGGACTGGAGCTCCGAGCATATGGTTATGTACAGACTTATTATGATAAATATGTTCCGTCTGTTCGTTGCAGTATAACCATCCCCCGCCGCGAAACTTTATTCCCAACATATGCTATCATTCGATTTGCTCCTCCCATGCGGAGGAGAAAGCATCTGAGCCAAGTCTACCGTTGTCGACCTTCCGTTTGTGGTTCCTGTAGAATGACTGGCGTGTCACGACTATGACAAATTCTGCTGTATCCGCAACTAACTTGTGCAACACCCAGATTGAGTGAGGTGACATGCTGACTGTGCGGAAGGAATTCGAATGCTGACTGCACTTTGAGCGGTGCAGTATTTTGCATACACCCGCTCGCTGTGTTATCTCGTTCACCGTGAAGGAATGTGTTGGCCTCAGTATGCAAACCCCGCGGGAATACCGTAACAGGTAGGTAGGTGTTTTTTGTATGGTGAGCCCCACCACTCTCCCACCAACCAAAAAGAGCCGAGAAAAAAAAAAACACGTCGCATGTATGCGCTGTATGATGGCACATCTACACATCATGTAGCACCCGCTCACTTCGCTTGGGACACCCCGCATACATATACTCGAGCAGCCGGGGAGAGAAACATTGAAGTCTCATCTGACGTAGCACGGGGCGCTTCAACCCGTTCCTCGTGAGTTGCCATCTCCACTATCATGCTGTCAAGGGCGAGAAATCGAATCGTACTGGTCTCAGCAACTGCGTATCCTCGGACCCCGATTCTGCCGGCCTCGCTCGCTTCTCAACGGACGTTGGACGCCCCGAACGGGACGATGCGGGTAGCTGTTGATTTAGGTGCGTTTTCGAGTATAGTTCTTCATTTCCGAGCGAGCGACAAGAGATAGTCAACAGCCCAAACATAGGAGGGATTGGAGGATTGCCGCGCGAAGTATGTCGGCAGCAGTCCCAAGCATTTCGGAATCGACAAAAGGCGAAGCAATGATTTGAATTGTGCGATAGCTCGAACCCTACCTCGCCCCGTTGCGGCGCCGCTTGTACTCCTCCTTGTGCCTGCCCAGCACAATTCTTACTCGCTACAACGGTCTCCTTTGTAGGGTCCTCGGCTAAGAACTGATCGCTTCGGTTGTTGCCACTCCTCGTCCTCGCCTGTGTTACAGGTGTCTTGTACGTCGTGCTTCGTCTTTGCCCATACTCTTTGGTGCCGGCGGCGATCATCTGTCGGATTGAAAAGTCATTCCGTTGAATGCGGCCATTCTGCGTGCGATTGGGGCAACCCAATGATGCATTTCGCTCGTGGGCCCTCAGTATCATCAGCGATGACATTGTGTGATGAGGCCACTCACCCGGGAACATGGAAGTTCAACTGTTGCATGCATAGACGATCGTGGATTGATTGCATCGTAGTATTTGATATGCCATGCGGTGGTGTGGCTGGTGATTTCCGTCGTAGATTGTAGAGATGCTGTAGTTGCCTCGATTTCCTTGTGTTGTCTCAGGAAACAAGGGACAGAAACTGAATCCCCCTTAACGGGAGCTTCAGAGTTGCCATTGACTCGGAGGGAGGAGTGCGAGATGACGTGGAGGCCCGTCCCTTTTTTTGTCGGCACTACATGTGGCCGCTCCTGCCAAAGTTTCCAATGCTCCGAAGCGAGTGTTGACGTTGCTAGAATAATAGTGCTTCCTTAGATTGTTATCCTCGCTTCTCCACCCAAGTATCCCCGGAAAATGGGGTAGCGTGTGTTTCTTGAGTTGTTCGCTTGGGCCAGTAGAAACAGGATCAAAGTAAACGAAACAACGTAAAGAGTAGAGAGGGGTCAAGGAATAAGTATAGGTTGTTATGGTCCGTGCACACCAATATGCCATTCACCCTTTACGCGACAACTTGAAAAAGAAAACGAGTTGAAACGTGAAACAACGATCGGCGATATTCATCCGTGACCGCATCGTCGAGCTACGTCGAAGCTGTTGAGTTTGTTTCTGTATGAGAAAATACGTCATTGTTGGCCGAAAAAGGACCCACGGAGTCCCCTTTCTCACCACGGTTTTCCCCCCATTAATCACCACGGAGCCTCCTCTGATATCCCCCCGCTCTGCATCACTCGTACAGAAGCATGCATCTGGCGACCAAAAATAAATGCTCCTATTCCCTCTCGTGAGGTTGGTGTGGGGTGAGGCTTAAGCTGACGAAAGCCGCGTAGTTCCTAACTATAGATGACCATTAGTACGAGAAAGGTTCAATCTGTGCCTGCTTGCTGTTGTGAGATTTGAGTTCTTTCGGCCACTGCCAAACCGCGCCGGACCGCCGACCCCAACGACGTGATTTCTACGCGAACTTGTCGCCGTAAAAGACAGGCAAGCCGCTCTCGCCTGTCGAAGATAGTTTCTCTGAAGAACCGCCATCTTCATCTTTACCACGGACTTCCGCCTCGAACCGACCGTCCCGGGTGTCTCCCACAACGCCTCTGGCCCCGTCAACGACCCCAGCAAATATCGCTCTCCTTTAGCACCACGCGCCAAGTCTCGGGTGGCCGCACCAATACGCATCGTGCGGTATAGGGGCGATTCATTTGGCGATGTGTGGTAAGACGAACCCGTCCAAGGCCGGGAAAACACAAGGCGAAGGAATCCAGAAAATTACGGCTACAGTCGATCGATTGAACAGCGGGCTATTTCCACGGAAAGACCATTATCATCCAGCACTGCTGCTGTTGTCGATTGTTATGGCCCACGTTGGACAATACTCAAATATATATTTGGTTTGGGGTGTTGCTTGTGTTTTTGTTTTGGGTATTTTTTACTTTTCAGGTTTGGGGACGCAATATGTGACTTGGAGTGCAGAAGATCCATCTCGTGCTCCTAAGGAGGACGAAGAAGGCTCTTTCCAATCAAAGCGTCTGATATAGAAGTACGAGCGATGGTGCCACCTCGACTTCAGACAGGCTTATGGCCACTATTGCGTTCAACCTCTAGACGCCACGTCGTCTCCGGTAACATGGTACGGAGGAGATTTGGTCGCATAAGAGTTCAACCCATACTGTGTATGAGGCCAGCAGGCAGAAATCGCGGCATGTCATCGGTGTCATGTGGGTTAGCGCAAGGCTTCAACGCACGATCGACACCCGACGTTTCGAGTTGTGGCCCGGCAGGTCCGACGGAAAGACCCAAGTAGAGCAACTTGTGGACGCCAAAGGCCATCAAATGAACACGGGCCCACAGCCAAGACTTTACGCGGGCCATTCCAAAGCAAAGACAACCTGGCTTTGAGAACGTTGTCATCTTACCTGGACGAACATCTCGACGAATGGTGGATTCGGAGTTGTACAACCACAGACCCATTCACCAACGGTGCGAAGGAAGCTCGCGTAAAGCATCCGAAAGGGCCGAATTTCGCCGCGCGTTCCGTGATTTGGACAAGTTGTGCTGCTCACGCACCAAGTTGTAGGAACGACGTTGGCGATCAGCAGCGAGATCGGAATACTCAAGTTGATCACGATTCAAGCTTTGGTGACCGCGAGCATAAGGATGATCAAGAACATTCATCGGGAAAAGCGGCCGACAGTTCATGTGCACCTCGTTCGGCGCAAAACCAGTGGCGGCACTTACCGAATTTGTCGTATGCAAACTCGGCGTGCGGTAGATGAGCGCCCCGGTCGTCTTGCCTCTCGTTTACGACCAGAGCTGTGCCATAGTGTGATTGACACCCTCCACACCACCTTGCCATTGGGGTGGTAAGAGCTATTATAGTAGCCAGTATTGCGGACAGCAAGACGGGCGTACATACTGTAGCATGCGACAGTTTTGGACAAAACTAGGAGCCGATGTCGGGCAAAAGGCTCAACGGGCAGCCCCACAAAGGGATACCCGTTGGCGAGGATAAAAGCAGTACCTTTGGTGGTAAACTCTGAGGCCGTAACCGCGTATATATCAGCACGGCGACTCAAACGAACGGTCTGTGAAGAGCAGAATGTACGTGTTCCCATGTGGCGTGACCAGGAGAGGACCGAAGTAATCGACGGTCACGGACACACCGGGGCTAGACGGCAGCGGAAGGCACAAAATAGGCCATCGAGCAGAGCTGACCAGACGATTGAAGGGCTTGGCATCGCAATCAATGCCGTACTGACCATGGTTCCGTCGAAGAATGCAAGGAAGGCTGCCTGTGTAGGCGAGGAAGCTTGCGCCGGAGACGCAGAACTCAGCGCTGCGGAAGGTGGAGCGGGGAGGTCCGGAGGCGAATCCTCGTGAGCGGTCCAAACCAAGTTCGGGGGAGACTCCGGAGAGTCGTAGGCTGCTGCTGCCTGCAGAAGGCTGCAGAGTGGTTGCAACCTAAGTTGCAGTAGGCATCCGAGACGCGGAACCCAGTCCATGAGCCGTAGGTGCGGAAGGAGTCGATTATGAACAACCAGCACAAGCGGTCAAAACCAAACTTGGCGATTCGGGCTACTCTCTCGTCTTTCGTTCCACAGTACATGGGTCCGTCGCTTCGCCTCCTCTGCCTGTCGGCGCCTTCTCCTGGTATGACGCACAAGATCGACTTTTGTTGCTCGGCAAGATTAATTTCTGGATCGTCTCTTCCGTGTGATTACTACTACACCTCGTCCGCTTCTTGGACGACCCGGGGCCTGTCAAGATCGCCCTTCTTTCCCGATGTTCGCTACTCCACCAAAAAACCGCCGTAGTCTCCGGATCCTGGGGCCTTCAAGCTCAGCGGCAGCGCCGTTTTCAAGGGAATTCTTCGCAACACCGACATAGAAAGGAAGGATAAGGACGGAATCGGACTGAAGTGAAGCGGCTCCAACCTGCACACAGTGGGCGGACTAGCTCCACACTGAACCGCGTCACATCTCGTCACACTTCGGACTACATCTAAAAAAGGTAAAATAATTGTAGTTTTGAGGTTTTCAATGAGTAAATCCCATCTGTTTTCGTTCACTAGTCTATGCACGACCGGTTGGGCGAGCTGAAACAGGACCAAAGCAAACGAAACAGTAACGAGAGTAGAGAGGAGCCAATGAAAAAGTAGCTTGTTCTGAACCAAACAACATGTGAACCCTTGCTGCACTTGAAGTTGTTGACGATGCTACTCGCCTTCAAACACTGAATCGACCCAACCTAGTACCTGCTAGCTAACTGCGGGCACCCTTTCTCTCTCTCTCTACCACTGACGCGGGCGCCTCCGTGGTGGCAGGCTAACTACCCCCAATGAGGTACCATACATTACTCCTATGGCAAATCAAAGATGACTAGAAGGACCTCGACCGTTAAATATCAACACAACCACGACAAAAATAAATATGGAGCAGAGGAAGCCCCCAAACAGGCAGACCGCAGCAGGTGGCATGCCGGACAATGGTTTTAACGAGGTGAGCAACTGAATATTCGGGGCAACCAGCTATATGTGTCTCGGAATAGACGGACAAACGTTTCGGTGGATCGAGCTATAATTGTCGTGAACCAGCGAAACGACTGAGGGACGAGGTTGCTCATATTTCACAAGAAAATCGGCCTCTTAGCCGCACAATACATTTTCAATGAACACCATGGCAACACGGCTTATCAACTGTAGCGTGGCCGATGGAACTCGACGTGCGTTTTCGTATTCCTTCAACGCCTCCATTAGCGGCGTGTCCGCGTTATCGATGCATTTGGTGAGGGCTGCGGCGTCCTGTAGGGCTGTCGTCACTCCCATCGCTGGTCGGAGGGACACGGAAGGAAGGAGGGGGGGGGGGGGGGGGGGGGG